TTAATATTTTTCGATCCAGTTTTAAAAATTCTCAATTAACAGAGAGAATCTCATACTTGTAATTTTATTTATTAAACTCATTTTTTGTAATCGAAGTATTTGATATATTAAACTTTCAAAAATCATGATAAATAATAGTTATTAAGGAAATTTTTATTGAGGAAATTTTATATATACTCGTCGAGAATAGATTCTTACTATGGATTCATGATACTAAATGCATTTTAAATTTTCTCACATAATAGATATTTACCGACGCATTCGCATTATTATTATTCGTAAACGTGGACGCAACAACAATTATATATATATATATATATGTATATACATATATAATATGTTGTGTCATAATTGCGCAATGTAACTTAGCAGATTCACAAGCTGAGATTGGTATCATTCGTATCAGAATCGCTTACTACGACTCCATAATATTCTACTTGCCTACTGTACAACATTTTACACTCATCGTATTCGTCCTTAAGATATAATGTCGATTATTAATGCTACGAGATTATTGGAGAGTCATGAGATTGCACACCTTCGCCCGGACCGATCAATCAATTGTATTGGCGTCGAGCCCGGTCGCGTTTTCTCGCTCATTTCTTTCTGTTCGTCAACTTCTTTTTATATATATACAGGACGATTCGACGTCTCGTCGATTCTTTTCGGATCTTTAATATTTTTTCTTCGGGTCAAAATCGACGTGACAATTATTGAGACGATCGTTTGCAAGCAGAGCCGTATACGTGTCATTAACATGTATATGATATATTCTTCATTTTTAAATATCATTTATATTTATACGAATTTATCTCTCTATCTTTCTCTCTCTCTCTCTTTATTTATTTATTTGTACAATAATTCATTTAACCTCTTAAATAAATTCTTGAATGAAGAATAAATGGAAACAAGAACGCGAATGAGAAAGTAAAATGAATAAAAAAAGGAATAATAAGATATATACATATGTTAATATATTATTTCATATATTTTGGAACGATTAGAAAGTAATATCAAATATTATAAAGATTATTGTACATAAATGTACAATACAAACATAAGTAATTAAAACATTAAGATAATTATAATAATATGTATGTTATTATTATCATTATTCGAACAGCAATAATAATAGTTTAGTATTAATTATTTTACTTTTTTAATTACTTATGTTATCATCGTAAATTTGTGTATAATAATCTTTATGTGCACCAGTGCTCACTAGTACATCCAATCAAATTCGCTATTAGTTTCTTATACGAGAACAAAATTAAAGCTTTTTTATACAATTGCATCGTTAAAGTTTATTTCATTATCGCGTATACATATGTAGATTATATATTAATTTATATATAATTATCTAATTACGGCTCTGTTTGCACATTCTCTATTCCTGCGAGCTCACCCTTGCGCATACGCATATATATATTATATGTACATATAGATACCTTCGGCTTATAATAAGTACGAACGATTCCCTGGATCAACAAAAATCACACAACGTAGCAGTCAATTAAGAAGTCCGATAGTCCTTCATTATATGTATAAACTGGCAACAATTAATAGTCCCCGTTTAGGCGGTCATCGCATCTCTCGTGTTTCATTTCTCTTCCTAAAAATTCCCCCCAAAATGTGATGTTTCCACTGAAATAAACTCACTTAGAAGTAATTTGACCACACATTAGCTTTTAAGAATATAATGTAGTTTATTATTTATCTAACAAAAAATTGGTTCCATCGAGAAAAATTGTGTATACTTGTCGAGAGAATCAATTTTTCAAATATTTTAAAGCATACATTATATTTATTTTTTCTCGGAAGAAAAACGAACGGCAGAGAAATGATCTTGTTGCGATTACAAAATTTCATGGAATTTTACAGCACCGACGCCTCAGTCCTGCCAGTTGGCGGAGGTGTCGGATGACCGCTAGCATTATTGTTATTGTTGTTGTTATTATTATTATTACTCGCCTCACCGGCGTGACTCGAGCAGTAAAATTTCTTATGAGCGATAAAGGTGCTCAAATAATTAAAACTGATGTCGCAGGAGCGACAGTAGCGAGGACCGCTTTTGCTGGGGTCCAAACTCTCCTCCGGCGGTGGCGTGTCTTCGCGTTCCTGCTTCACCTTGCTAGCGATTGCCGGCACCAGCGGAGGCGGTGGCGGCGGCGGCGGCGGCGGCGGTTGCGGGCTCTTCCGTATCTCCGTCTTGCCATTCACCTGGATCTCTGCGGGAATCTCCTCCGGCGTCGTGGCGGCCGCAGGCTCCGGTGTCGGGAGCGTCGCCTCGTCATCCAGTACGCACGTTATGTAATTCTCTTCCTGAAGAAAAAATAGTTGATATTTTATTAAAATCCCGTTAAACATTTATTTTATTAGAAACAAATATATTTTATATGAAAGTAAACAATATATATATTTGATTATTTGAAATATTTTTTGATATCTCACTTCGTTTCCGAAAAATATGCCCGCGTCACTATAAATGCCTCACCCTGTATATATTTGATCATCAGATTTATTTTAATAAAAATTGTAATGTTTTTGTCCAAAGATTTATTATTATACAAAAATTCAAATATGTGTTTTCAGTTTAGTAAAATTCAAAAGGAAGAAGAGAGAAAGAAAAGCAGATCTACCTGTAGATCAGTGCCGCGCTTCTCAAAGTGCATCCTTATATGGGTCCTCATACCGCGTAGAGTATTGCCTTTGTAACGGCAGATCGTGCATCGAAAGGCCTTGACACCTTGGTGGGCATCCATGTGACGCTGGGCAGCACCGGCCGTGGGGCTGACGGCACCGCAAACCGGACATCGCCAACCACCAGTCGTACCACTGGCGCAGGTATGATTGCCGCCGGGTTCTATTATCGCCTGCGATAAGCATGCGTCTCGTCTCAATAAATTGTCTAATATCTCGAAAGATCGATAAAGAGAATCACACCGGTCCTCGATAAAGATAAAGTTAAAATTTCAGATGCATTTAAAAAAGTCGAAGTATTTTAAAAGGTGTCCTAAATTTTTGAAACATTAAGTATGTTTAAAGGCACTCTAAATTTTAAGTCTAGATTTCTTTTATGCTGTCTGGCTTTTTAGACATTCAACAAATCTTTTAGATATTCTTTATATGTCTTCCAAAATATTTCTTGGATTCTTTTGTGCTGTTTGGATTTTACCTTGCACTTAGAACACCGCGTGTGATGCTCCTGTGGTTCGGGCCTTTTAGGACAGTAAAACGCCTGGTGAGCGACCAGATTGTCCATGGAAGCGAATTTGATGCCGCACGCGGCGCAGATGAGCTGGACGCAGATGGGTGGCGGGGGCGTGCCAGGGGGTGGTGGACTGTTGCTCACCGTCGTCTCCCTTGCCTGGCAGTAATGCTTCTTATGAGCGACAAAATTCTCGTGTCTACAGAACACGATATTGCATTCCTTGCACCTATAAAGATCGAAACTCGAAGGATGGAATCTCATAAAATTTCAAAAATCAAAAATTTTCAAAGTTCACGATTCTCTTTATATAATTTTAAAGCTAGAAAATTCAAAAACTCAGAATTCCGAAAGTCCAATTAAATCTCTCGGGAGACCCAAACTCACCTGGAGACGCCTTGTTTGACGAGTACTCCGGGAACAGGGGGTGGCGGCAGCTCGGCGAGTCTCAGGGCGAGCTCCGTGGGCGGGGGTGGCGCGACGGCGACCGTCTGCGCCGGACCGATGGATCTCGTTCTAGGACTACCGCTGCCCCTGGATCTGGGACTGCCCGGAGGTGGCGGCAGGGACGACGGTGTTGGCGACATCCTGTTCTCCTTCTCGTCTTGGTGCACCGGTGATCTGCGTACGCTGAGATCAAGGGGCGCCGAAGCAGATGGCGACGTAGATGTTGCCACAACCGACGCTGGCGTCGAGGGTTTATTCGCTGCTCTTAGTACAGCTGGCGGCTCTACTACCGCGTTCTGTGTTGTCGGAGTGAGACCCCTCGTCATTGGTTGAAGGGAACCTGAAGATGAAACGTTTAATCGAGATCACTTATCGTATTTATTCTTTATAAAGTATAAATGTATTGTGCGTTATCCATTATCTAACATAAAGCTTGAAAATTATTCTTCATAATTATTTGTAGAAGAGATATATACGAACCGTTTGGCAAAAGGAAGCACGCTGTGTCAGGGGCCGGAAGTGCCGGCGCGGCGAGGACGCTCGCGCCGCGAAACAACGAATATGGTACGATAAGGATGGGATTGGTAGGTAGCGCCAGGCACGGCTGAGGAGGCGGCGAATCACCGGGACTCGAGCTGGTCGGCGGTGATGCTTTCACCGAGGACGCCGACGTTGCCGTGGGCGTCGGTAACGTGTCCTTCACCACGTGCCTGGTGCTGCAATAATGTGTCTTGTGCGCCCTGCAACAAATCAAATCATAATTGAAAAAAAAATCTGTCTTTCTGTATCAAAATCTATACATTTTTCTTTAATTCTACGGATTATTCTTTTTAATAGACTTCTCTTTTATATGTTTTCTTAATCAGAACTTCTTATAAACTATTTTAAGCACCTGTACGTCTTCAAGGAGCTGAACCTAATGTCACAATTCCTGCAGTATCTTTCGGCCTCCTCGTTCAAAGAACCGTTAGATGCGGCGGTCTGACCGGGAGGGTTGCCCGTCGAGGAGTTCGGGTTCGCCGACACCGCCGTCGCTGCCGTTGGTATCGTCGACGGCGCCGGCGAGGCCGCGTGCATCCGCATGTGACGATTCAGAGACACCTTCTTGTCGGCGCTGTACGAGCAGTGCGGACACGCATACGCCTTTCGCACCTCGAACTTGCCGCCGGACTTGCCGTCGTCGTCCTCGTCGTTCGTCGCGTCTTCGTCAGCGCGCGGTCGATGGGCGCAGTAGAAGGTACGATGGGCCTCGAGGGTGCTCGCCGAACTGAACCGGATGCCGCACGGTGGGCAGATCAGGGCGGTCGGTGGCGGCCTAGCCGGCTCCACCGTGATCGTTTCCTTGCCATCGGTCGGCAGGACGAACAGCCGACCCGATGCGATGGCTGATATATGAAATGAATTTCATTACGAGATCTTATTATTTTTTTATTCTCATCTTAGGGGCTTTGTTTCAGATTTTGGGGAAACAAGTTCATGTTCCTCGTATCATACACTTTCTAATTCTTGAAAAATTGAAAATTTCAAAAACCTAACATTCGAAATTTTAAATCTCGATTCAAAATTTTCCTGTTTTCTGTTCATCAATTAAAATACTAAAATCGATCCGATCGGAACTACAATCACCGTTCTGAAGCCCGGCTGGAAGCGGCGGCGTCTGGTTCGGCGGCGACGTGTTCTCGGGCTTCACGGTAAGCGCGGCGACAGCGGCGGGTCGCAGTGCGGGATCCGTCGCCAGACTAGCATTGAGTCTCAGTCTTGGTGCTGCCTCGTCGTCGAGTCTCATCCTCTTGGCCTCGGTGGCCACCGCGGTGACGGAGTCCTCCGAGTCCCTGCGACAGACGGAGTCCCGTCTCCTGATGGCGGTGGACGATGATGACGAGGACGACGGCCTCGGCTGGCACTCGTCCTCCTTAACAGCCTGTTGATCCTCGTCGACGTCCTTGGGACTCGACTCCCGCGTCCGCGCGCTTCTGGACGACGGCGCATGGCGGTCTCGTATACCCCTGGCAATCTGTGCGACAAAATATTTATTTTTTATTAATTAAAAATTAAATTTAAAAATCAAATTGGGACTATTCTTTAAATTTCTGGATCTTATTAAAATTATTGGAGTTTATTTATAAAAATTATTCCTAGATTCTAGAAATCGGACAACTATAAAAATTTCAGCAATTATATAAAAATTACAAAAGTTTCTTTTAATAAGAAAAAAAATAAGAGAAAAAAAAGTCCATCTATATAAATATAATTTTTTCAAATTTTTAGGCTACACACATGATAGTTTCGTAAATTATTGTAGATACTTAATTAGAGATAATTATTTTAATATAACATATATACTTTTCTTATTAAATCAAAATAAACATAATTGATCAATCTAAATATTTTATTGACTGTTTCAGTTTATAAGAAATTAATTTTACGCGACAATAAATATAAAAAATACTGCAATAATGAAGATTATAAATAAGAAGCAGATACAAGTGAAATATATGCACCTCGATGTCCTCGGTAAGACTGACCAGACGCTTCCTAGTATCCTCCGAAAGCACACTTAGGCGCAGTCTGATATCTTCGCTGGCGGAGGAGCTGGTCGAGGATGATGGGGGGTTGAGTCTCGGAGGGGGCGGTAAACTCGAGTCTTCTTCAACCACCGGTGGCGCGATTGGACTCGACACCGCGGATCCGCCACCGTCCACGCCGCTGCTCACCGACGGGGTCTTCTCCGAGTCACTCCATTCCTCATCCTCCCCTGAAATTAAAAGTAAGAGATGCTTATCAGCGGAATTCTTCGATAAAATGATGGAGATACGCGCAGAAATAGCAGTAAGATATTTTGAGATTTTTCGCTCCTTCAAAAGTAAGATTGTTTCGATATTATTTTTGAAAAAGAGAGAGAAAGAGAATAATGATAAAAGATAATAATATAATAAGTCAGTATAATTATTAGTTAGTATAAAATAAGTCAGTAAAATAAGTCAGTATAAAATAAATAAATAAATTATTGTAAAATAAATAAAAAAATTTTAAATTAAATTAAATTAATTTAATTTAAAATTATCTTTGTAATTAAACAGAGAAAATTCTATCAATGCAACCGTACATTTCGAGAATCGCCGCCGATGTTGATTGAAAGTAGTTCGCGAGACAACCATAATCGTTGTTAGACCGAGCCGGAAGGAAGCTGCGCTGATCGAGATGAAAGAAAAAGAAAGAGAAAGAGCAAAAAAAGGGCGACGCGCGCGCGAACGATGCCACTCTTAGACTATCCGGATCTCTAATGGATCCGTATAGTAGCCCTTTGCGTATTCTACGTTTTCTTCCCTTCATCCTCGACTCGGTCTATCCTCCCGTTCGGCACAACTACCAATCGCACCCTTCGCATGCCGCCTCTCATCCCCTACTTCGGGGGTCGCGCTCACGCGCAAGCCTGTCTCTGAATAGTTCAGTGTCTAAGGGCTGGTCCCGGCGAATGTGCGTGCCCTTAGATGGATCATCGATACGATGTTTAATCTTGCAATACTGAGGATTGTTCCGTTGTTGAGGGGTTGTCCGCGGGGTTACAATGACAAAAGAGTTTTGCGAGAATCGAATTTAGATTAAAAAAAAATTAAATTTTGAGAAAAAAATATTTGAGAAAATTAATATTTAATCAACTGGAAGAAAGTTTGTAAGAAGAAATATTCGAGGAAAGATTTTTAGTAGAGAGATTAATCGGAAGATTTTAATTATTAAATAATAAAATCATTTAAAAAAATAGCAAATTGCGAGAATATCATCGTTTATCGTTCGCATATATTTTTTCATCAATACGATTAATAGAAAACGCGCGAGTGAATTTTAATCGAACACTTTAGAGACAGTGTGCTTGAAAACGATCGATTGTCAAGGATCTTTAGAATTTTCCGTGCAATTCTTAAGACACCTTTTTCTCGATAGATCGTCAAGGACCTTTAGAAAAGATCTGACGATCCAGGTGGCTCGTCGACGCGAGAGATTGAGACTCGAGAATTACCCGGATGCTTTAATTGCCTCCTCGGGCGAGGAAGAGCGACAGAGGAGTGGAGAGGAAGGGGGGAGGAGGAAGGGGGACGACGCGAGGGAGGACTTGAAGGAAGATGCCTGGGTAGATTGGGCCAAAGGGTTGCAACGAGCTCTCGCTGGGCTATCCAGCTCTCGCATCTACACTCCAGGTCGTGTTCCTCTTCCTCTCTCTCTGGCTTCTCTGTAAATAAGCGGTCATCGATGGATCGGCTGTGGCGTGGCGTGGCAGCGCACACAGCCTCCCTTTTTCCCTCCGGTTTATTTCTGTCTCTCTCTCTCTCTCTCTCTTTCTCGAGACGGGACTCTGATCGCGAGCCTTAATTGCGCAGCCATGCATACGTTCGCCAGCGACGACGACGTCTGCAAGTTCATTCGCGACCCTCGTCCGCTCCTTCTTCTTCGTGATCTCAGATGTACGATTGGAGAAGAGGTGGAGGCCGTGGATAGATCTCTCTATCTCACGATTGAAGAGAGAATAGGAGGGAGGTGTACGTATGATAGAAGTTGTAGATAAACCTCCCTTATCTCACGGTTAGTTTCTTTCCCCGGGGTTCTATTATCGGAACGGGAGATTATTTTCGAGATGATCTCCGAGCGTGGATTGGCTCGCGATCGGCCCGGAGATCTTGAGGATCCGTGCGCTCGATAATCCGAGAATACAATAGCCCCGGAGGGATTCGAAGCTCAAAGTAGCCAGAATATTTCAAGGTCTAAAGAATTTGTTTCGCGCATTGAAAGATGCAAGCAAGTGCTAAGAGATTTTAAACGTTCACACACTTTCAGATATGCTAAATTTCGAAGAAACAAAGAGCATGAAAATTTCACAGACAATGTTTCGAAGGAAAATTCTTAATTTCAAAAATAGGAACGAATTATCATCTTAAAAGACGAAAGAACTGATACTAAAATTTAAAGATCCCATTTTTTCAAATTTAAAAAAATTCTTGAGTCTAAAAATAAAATTTCCCAGATTTCAGAAAGAAATTTAAAAGATAAAAGAAAAAAATTGTCACACGACAAAAATACCATATCCATATTCTAGATATATTTTAACGACCTAAATTAATATATATATAATTAATATAGGAGTTACGTTGCTACTTCTTGATTATTTTTCGCTCTTTATATTTTTCCATCGTAAACTCGGAGTACTTTTAATTGCACATACATACGCAATATACACGTTGCCGATCGCGAGAGGGGCTGCATCTACAGCAACCACCAGCTTACGAGCGGCCAACCAACCAACCAACTCAACCAACCACCTCCTCCATCGCGCGACGCGGTTGGGGTGCAATATATCTCGAAAAGGTGACGGTGGAGGAGAGAGAACGGGGGAGGCACAACACGGCCTCCATTAACATATCCGCGGCCTGATAAGCCTTTCTTGGAACCGATACCGCCGCGTCCCGTGTACACCTTCGGCCCCGCTTTATGCAAGAAGCGAGCAATCGCAGCGACTCGGCGTCGCACTGAAGAACGGAGCCGGAAACTCGTACTTTCGATCCCCGTCCACCTCCTCCTCTTTCACCCTACGATACGACCCTTCTTCCGATACTCCATTCCGCTAATGAGCCTCAAATTCCGGTCGATTTACCGGCGTCGATATAATTCATGCATCACGCAACGATAAGTTCATAATTAAGTTCCTTCCTCTGATATTTTTGAATTTTATATTCAAAATTTTGAATTAGAAGCTCCTGAGATCTGATTTTGAATTTTTCAAACTTTAAATCTTTAAAGTAGATGTTCAATTTGAGAGCGCTGTTTCTTCGCACCTTGTAAATCTTCTGCCCTTTGTTAATCACAGTATTATGTAAAGAAAGAATTAAAGAAATTTTTCCATTTACAGAAAAATCATATTTATTCTTCTAGACTAAAATTATAATTATTTTTTAATTATATAGCTTTTTAATGCGTCAAAGAAATAGAAACATTACAACATTGCGTATATCTTTTTGAAGATCAAGATAAACGTATCTCGTGATCATTACAAAAAGATGGTAAAATTAAATTATATATATAAGGAAACAACTAGCGGGGCGAGTACTCTGTTAATTTAATGAGACAGAGATCGATAAACGATCAGAGATGCGTAAGTGAGACATATTCTTGACGAGTTGCGCGAACGCACGTGATGTCTCGGTAAATCATTGCGCGTTCCGTGACCGAAAGTACGCGTGATGCAAAAAACGTCCGCTCGTTAAAGTAATAAGTAGGTATGCAGGGCATTTATTATACCGCTTATATCCTTCTCTCTCATCCCTTCAGTCGACATCGACACTCCTCTCTCTCCCTCTCCCTTTCGGTTAAAATCTTATAAATTTCTACACTTCCGAAACTTTTAAAGATATCACTATCTTCCGATTAATCATCAATTGTAACAAACAAACAAAACAAAAAAAATATTTTTTATTACTCCTAAAAAAAAATTTCGTTTTGGATCACTGGATATAAAGATAAAATTCCAAGGATAATATAAAAGGATAATCTAAAAGGATATATTTTCATTTTGCCATCGTAATCACGTTGCGATTCATATAATTTCAGATACACCCGATCGAGGGTAGGGCACCCCTCGAACTAGACCGAAACGTATCCTTCGGGAAGGAAGAAAGCAGGATCGCGGGCGGCAGGAGACGGTAGCAGCTTCATCGGCGCTATGCAAATAGGATCCTGATCGTGACGCGGGTAGGCAAACACACGAGACGTACAGGTAACAGGCAGAGCGGGAGTGAGTCCGCTGAGTGAGTCTTCTGCCTCGCCCTCCCCCTCCCCCTCCCTCTCCTTGTTTCTGAGCTCTTCCCTCTCTGTCCCCTGTCCCCTGCCCCCTACCGATTCGCATTACGGATCGTGCGCGCCTTTTCACGACCCGTGAGGAGAGATACGCGCATATACCGTTCCGTGTCCATTTGCTTTGTCTCCCTTCCTCCCTTCTTCGCTTGCAGCCCCCCCCCCCCTCTCTCCCACCTTCGTTCGCACCCCTTACACGCTGCATCGTGGAGATATGCTAATGTCGCTGAGGTCCCGATCGTGACAACGCGGCCGCTAAGTGAGAGCTCAACTCGCGAAGCTTCTCCCTTGGGCGGACTTGCGAGGGGGGCAACGAGGGGGACAATGAGGGGGAAGCTTGCGATCGACGTGTCGCCCTTCGTGGAATATCGGATCGAACGTGCGCGGTGCAGGAGTCGCGTTCGATTTCCAGTACTTTAATTATGCGAGTGACAATCGATTGTCATCGAATTAAATGCCAATCGGAGAAATTTTGGAGAACGGAAAAGAGTTATTTCGGATCTGAATTATTTTTTTGCAAAATGTACGATATTCATTCGTAATAAATCAAATATATATACGGAGCGAAATAATATTAACATTGTAATACTTCAATAATTCTGTTACTAGTATTTTTCAAGTTTCCGATACTTTAAAAATCACCAACTTCAGAAAAAAATATTTATTATTTTATAAATATTCTAATAATAATTACTCTATATTTTTTATTGATAATGAATTCTAACATTTTAAAATCCTGATAATTTAATATTTTGAAGCGTTTCACAATTTCAGCATCAGAGAATTTAATTATTTCCACAAATTCTGCTCTTTTTAATTTATGCTAAAATTTGTAGCATCAGAGCTCCAATATTCCACAGTTTATCCTAAGATCCTTATCATTTCTGGATAATTTTTCTTTAAAACGTACAATAC